TTTCAAGTCCAAGCCTCCAACCCATAAAATAATACGGAGAACACGTAGCATCTCAGAAGTCTTATCTTTAAAGAAATTGAAATGTCCCTGCTGCAGAGTACTTTTTTCAATTTGTTTTTTATTTCTTGAAAAAAAAAAGAATTTCTTGCCTGTCCTATTCTTACCTTAATCTCTTCTGTGTAATCATTATTTTCATTAATTATTGTATCCAGATATTTATATTTTTCAACTTTTTTAATTTGTTCTCCATGTATTGTTATGTTTTCTTGGCGCTGTTGGGCTTTTGTAATTACCATAAATTGTGTCTTTTTTGTGTTTAGGGACAGTCCGTTTTCTTCACTGACTTCTACCACTCAACCATTTGTTGTAAATCCTCAAGACATTCCGCTAATAAAATAGTGTCGTCGGCAAACCGTATATTATTGATTGGTCGGCCATTTACTTGTATTCCCATAGTTAGTTCTTCTAGTGCTTCCTGGATTATTTCCTCTGAATACAAATTAAACAAAGTAGGAGACAGGACACAACCCTGTCTGACGACCCTCTCAATCTGTATTTCATTTGAAAAGACGTTGTTCTCTTTTACCACAGCGATCTGATTCTAATAGATAGCGCTAATGATCCTGATGTCTCTCATATCTAAGTTTTTCTTTTCAAGTAATTCGATAAGACGGTTATGTCTGACTTTATCGAAGGCTTTGTTGTAATCCAAGAAACACATATACTGGCTGATTAACAGCCATGCAACTTTGCACAAGTACATTCACAGCGAACAGGGCTTCCCTCGTTCCCAGTGCATTTCTAAAACCAAATTGTGTGTCACTTATGTCTTGCTCAAGTTTGTTGTGTATTCTCCGGTGTATAATTTTTAAAAATATTTTGAGCGTATGATTCATTAAACTTATTATCCTGTGGTCTTGGCATTCTTTTGCATTTGGTTTTTTGGTAGTGTTACGAAAGTTGACACCAGCCAATCTCTGGGAATGATTCCTGTACTGTATATTGTATTGAATAAGTCGACCAATATTCCAATTTGCTGTTCTTCTATTAATCGTATTATGTCTACAGGTATTTCGTCAGGACCTGTTGCCTTGTTATTCTTTGTTCGTTTTATCGCCTCTAATACCTCATCTTCTGTTATGTTTGGGCCTTTGTTGAACTTTTCCTGTTCTAGTACTATCTCAGTCCGTTCGTCTTTAAATAGCTCTTGAATATATTCCTGCCATCTTTTAAGCCTTTCACCGACGTCTATAATTATTTTGCCGTTTTTATCCAGCAGTATGTTTGCTTTTTTCTTAATATTAGTGCCTGTTATTTCCCTAAATTTTTTTATGAAGGTTTAAGTTATCATGTTTCTCCACCAACTGTTCAATCTCTTCGCATCTGTCATTATACCATCTTTCCTTTGCATCTCTGATCTTTCTCCTTATTTCTGTGTGTATAATATTATACATGTTTTTGTCTTTGGTTTTATAGGATATTCTTGCTTCCATGAGATCCCGAATCTCATCGGTCATCCATCCATTTTTATTCTTAATCAGCTTAGGTGTTAGTGTTGTCTCACATGTGCGTGTAAGAGCAACTTTTAATATATACCATTTTCTGTTCGCATCTTCAGTAGGAATAATTTCTATTTTGGTGAGCTCTTCTTAAATTTTTAGTGTGACTTGCTCTTTTGTTGATGGATCTTTCAAACGGGATACTTGTATCCTCTCTACTTTAGTTTTAGCCACAAGCTTTTTTAGATTAATTCCAAACCTTCCTACAACTGGGTTGTGATCTGATCTCACATCAGCTCCGGGGTATGATTTTATGGAATTTGGGTATCGTTTGCAGATGAGAAGGTAGTCAATTTGGTTTCTGATGACGTTATGTTGGTTGTCTGCTAGAGATTTCCATGTATAGAGTCTCCTGGGTGGCAGATCATTTTTGCACTTTGCCAAGGTATTGTAGAGCCACAAAGCTTAAATAAATATCCAGTAAATGATCTTACGATCTAATATATTGCTTGCCCAATCGGAATCTACAAAACCTTGCAATTCTAAATAATCTTTTAAGTCAATTAGAGTATAATTAATCGTATCTTTTAAATACCTCAATACTGTTTTTGCACATTTCCAATGAGACTCAATGTATACATTGTTAAATTAGTTCAAGAACCTGACTGTAAATGATATATATGTTCTGATTAAAACATAAATACATCAAACTACTAATTACCATCTGATAAGGAAATTGATCTCTAATACAATTGGTACTATCATCAATTGTTAAAGATAACGTTGGTTCAATTTGAAGTTTTAACTCCTTTGGCATCACTCATGTTAAAGCTTAAACACCCACTTATAGTACAAGATCCCACTGCAGGATCCCTACATTCATAACGTAGTTGATCAAACTCACATCTTTAAATACATTTAAAATTACAAAGTCATTAACTAAACAGTCATTAAGGGCATTAGTAGAAAGTAGAAAGTCTTTGTCTGATATTTTTTAACAAAATTTTGGGAATTGGAAAGTGTTGGCGTTTTTGGAAAATTGAGTCGAGGTTGTTTGATTGATCAACAGAAAATTATGAAAGGGATTGAGAGGCGGGCATGATTTTGGAAGAAAAAAGGTGATCATCTGCTGTTTGGACGGGAAGGAGAAAAGATCAAATCCACCAGTGTGTGTTTGTTTTTAAACGTTATATAAAAAAATAGGAAAATATAGATTTTGTGAAAATAGCAGTGTCGGTAAGTTTTGAAAGCTGATTTGCCGGATGAAAAGGGTACAGAATTTGTAAGTACCAATGCGTTATTATTCCCGGAGAGATTCGTAGTTAAGCAGATAAGGGCAATCCCAAAAGGAGATAGAAACGTGAGTCAGAACGTTTGTTTTTGATCGACAGGACTGTTTTTATAAGCAGAACCAGGGAAGAAGTTTTTCGATAGAGAATCAATTAAAGTGAATCATTTTCATAAAGTGCAGAGAAAAATTTATTGAGACGATACAATAGATTGGACTAATTTTCCTATTGTAATTTTATATGTGAAAGCTATATGTTTTGAGAAACATTTAATTCTAAGGGATTTCATTATTTGTATAAACAGTTTTAAAAGGTTTATTTTACTATTATATTTTAATTGTGTTCCACAAATTTGAGTTTTTTTTATTTATTCCTTTTACTCCACTTCTTATTGAACACTATTCAAGATAAAGGTATTTTTTGAACTCTAATAGGAACCCTGAGATAAGAAAACATATGAATTATGAAATTAACGTCGTGTATAAAATTTATTTACATATTCGTAATAAAATTCATTAAATATTTTTTGCTTTGTTTAACTAATTTATATATATATATATATATATATATATATATATATATATATATATATATATATATATATATATATATATATATATATTATGTAATTTTATAAGAGTAATAAGTTCGCAGAATTGATATCAGTTTTACGACTTCGGAGAATGCACGTATTTACGTTGTTTTTCTTGGAATATGGGTGTTTTATTTTTCAAAAATCTTTCATTAGTGTACAGTTGTTCAAAGAGTGAACTTGTGCAATTTTTAAATTTAAAACTATAGCTGAGAGATTTGCTAGATCTATTCAAATTGTTACTTTGATTTATAGTGGAATAAGTCGAAGAAAAGTGATCATACAGCTTGGAGTCAGTCGTAGGGTCCAAAAAACATACCAACGATTCGTAGAATCTGGATCTCACGAACGAAGACCAGGATCAAGCACGAGAAGAATCACGACGGCCAGGGAATACCGTTCTTTACAAAGCACTTCTTTGAAAAATGGATTCTTTACGACTTTCCAAACCCAATCCAAAACCGTTTTCAAAATGCTCACAGGTGGACAAGCACTTCTACAGTGAGAAGAAAGTTGAGGAAATTTGGTCTAAGGGCTCGCTGCCCAGCAATATGACCTCTGTTAACAGCAGCACATCGACAACGCCGACTTGAGTTTGTTAGAAACGACGAACATTGTACGATAGAAGACTGGAAAAATGTTTTGTTTAGTCGTGGTCCAGGATGGTTCTTTATGGCTCAGACGGTATCATCAAAACGTACAGAAGACATGGGGGACGATATGTTTCTTGTGTTCGATGAGCACGTGTTGCTTTTGGAGGAGGTTCGGTAATGTTTTCGGCAGGCATTTCATTCGAAGGCCGTACTGATCTCGTGTATATCGATGGAGGGGCGTTGGAGGCTCACCGATACATAACTTAAATTTAAGACGAGCATGTATTGCCTTTTGCTGGGTTTGTGGGCGAAATCTTTATTCTCATGCAAGACAACGCGCGGCTACAAATAGCAAGGATGGTAACGCAATTTCTGGAAACCGTCGGTGTGCCAACAATGAATTGGCCAGCTTAAAGCTCAGATTTGAACCCAATTGAACATGTTTGGAACCAACTCAAACGAAGGGTAAGAAACAGAATACCTACTCCAATAAATCGTGGGCAGCTTCGGCTAGCGCTCATGGAAGAATGTTAAGCTTTTCATCAAGACAACATCCAGAATTTGATCAATTTAATGCAAAGTCGAATAAGGAGTGTAATTTAAAATAGAGGTGGTAATACAGAATATTAAAAATCTCGACATTATTATAATTTTTATAAAGAAAACAGAAAAAATTTACAATGTTAATTTTTAAAATTTTTCATTAAAATCATCATTTCGGGAGAAGTTTTTTTTGACATTTATTATTTAAGAAATGATTACATACTGCTTTAGAACTTATTATTAACCATTACACAAACATTTAATGACAATAAATTTGTCCGTTGTGTTCTAAAATACTGGAACCCAATGTACTTCAAAAACTTTTAATTTCATACCTATTGAACGTTAAAAACTTATTCTATATACCTATCAGGTAATATTAAAATTTAATAAAACTACAATTTAGAAGTACAGTTGGAATCTCTTAACTGCACATCAAGACTCAAATCTTAAAAATATCTAAATAAATCTAAATAAATCATACCTTTCGTTTTACACAATCTGCACACACTACAAAATATGATATTAAAACTTTAGAAATGTGCACAGCACTTATTATTAAAAGCACTCCCACCTTTTTTGAATTTTGAAAAACAGCAGGATGCCCTAGAAAAACAAAATATTGTTTTCTCATGTGGTTTTAAAATCCACAAAGAAAATATTTGTTTTGTGATTAGCAATTGAGAGAATTTTGCTTTGGTTTACAATAAAAACAAGATTATTTTTGATAACATAGTTGGTATGAATATCACTTGAATAAGTAACTTATAATTTTATAAATTTGATATACATAGAGGTTAAAATAGAGATAAAAAATATTTAATGCCAACAAAGATTCTGGTATTTATTTTAAAATGAAGTAGAAACATAAACTAACTTCTACGGAGATCAATTCATTCAATAGATGTGTTATTAAAATATACAGGATGATTCATTGGGAGTTCAAATTAAAAGTTTGAAGATAAAGTTGACATAGTTAATATCTGATTATATAGGGTCAGTGGTTTTTAAAACTTACTAAACTAAAATATTAAGAGCCCCTACCACTTCCGTTTATATCGGAAGTTGACTAAAACTCCTTTATTTTAAATATAACGCTCTGTATATTTCGTATTTCGATAAAATAGTTCTTAAGAATTCTACTAATGTATGAATATGCTATCTTATATCAAGAGCTGTACGAGATTGACACTTTATTTTGAAACAGTGTCCGATTTGACTCCCTGTATCTTTCAAAAATTTTGTTCGGTACAAATTTTTAGGACCTACTGGACCAGAATGAATATTGAAGCAGCAGCAAAAGATGAAATAGGAACAAAAACTTGTGTCCCTAAAAATCCTTTGTTTGGTGATGAATGCAAGAATGTAACACAAGAAAAAAAAATGAATTATACAGATAACTATTTACCCGACGAACTAGAACTACTGTAGAGAATCGCCAGGCAGAAAAGAAATGAGGATACAAAGAGAACGAATTCAGGGCATTCTATAACAAAGTTAACATCAATAAAAAAAATTCAAGGCACCTACAAACCAATGCACAAATCTGAATGGTAACCTATTAACACCAAGGAAAGATGCATTGAATCGATGGATAAAATAATAAATGTTTAGATTAAACAAAAAGTTTTTTTGAATGAGATATTTGAAATTAAAAATCACACTAAATTGTCCCTTTTTTTTTCACCCCTGTAACTTATTAAAATAAACTTTAGAGAAGTTTTCAGGGACTTTTGGCCCTCGGTAATAATGTATTCTTTCATTCTGCGTTTAAATTTTTCAAAAATATTTATTAGTTTTCTCAGGATTCGAAAAAAATGAATGCATTTAAAAAGCATTGGCCCGAAATTTTGCGCCTACGCTCTTAACCGCGTACTTACTATAGAGGAAAAACAAGAAAACCTGGACGACGAAAGAGATGAGGTGAGCAGAACAGAGAGGTAAGAAGAACCACCAAAGATTCGTGAAGTTTAAGACGCAGGTGAAAAACTAGCCAGAAACAAATCATCTGGAATAGATAATATCCCAGCTGAACTATAGCAGCTTAACAGCTCATAAAAAAAAATATGGACACAGAAATCACTACCTAGTAATTGGAATACTTTACACCATACACTAAAAAGGAATTATGCTTCTAAATGCAGCGTGTAAAATATTCTCAACTACACTATGAACCGGGATGGCATCATATACAGCAGAACTAATAATAGGAAAATATCAAGCTGTTTTCAGATGTGGTAAATCAGAGGTTGCAATCATCAGATTTCAACACAGACGAATTTTAGTTGTAGCGTTTTATATTTTTAATGTCTATGTAATAATATAAATTCGGTTTTAAATTGTTGTAGTACGCCTCTGGTTGTTATACCAAGAAATATGTGTTTGCTTGTTATGAAAGTCGAGATACTTAAATACGTAATAACGTTTCAAAAATAAAGATATATTTGTAGTTGAAAACGATTTGTTTACATCCAAGTCACCTAATATTCTGTTTGAAAAAGAGGTTCTTAAAAAGAATTATTATAAGTCAAGTTTTCATTTTTTCTTACCACGCTATAATGATGGGATATTTCAAGGTTGTTAGGACCACTCGTCGGAGATTTGTTTGTATAAATTTGTAGATGACAAACTGGCTACAATACGGAAAGGGAAATAAATTGTGGCGTTGAATTTGTAGAAGGTAACGAAGAGAGGCAGTCAAGCTACATGAATCAAACGATGTGATCACGCTGGGGAAGTGAAATTGAGAAGGCGTGTCGATTTGAATCGAAAAAGTCGATTAAATTGTTATTTTTTGTAATGTTTTAATATCAGTAAAAGTGATAATACTCTTGGCATTGAATAACGTTTTGATAGAGTAGTCATATAATATATTATTTACCTATGGTAGTCATCGGAAGATTTGTATAAATATAAATATAATTTGTATAATACGGAAACTTTTGACAAGTATTGTATAGGATGTCCTCGTTGTCAGCTTGATTCCTCAACCCATACCTGTTCGATCGTTCGTCCCTGAGTATGGAAATGGTTTCCTTGTTCCTGTTGGAGAATATGTCCAGAGATATTGGCAAGTTTCAAAGTTAAGTGAATTATGTAAAAATTAAGGTAACTTTTAATATATTAATTTTTCCAAGTTATAAAGACATTTTTAATAATTTCTTTCATTAAAATAAAAGAATTTTTAGCTAAAAAAATGTCATATTTTATTCTGTCTTAAAATGTTATGTTGACATATGATATTTTGCTTTAATCCATTGTTGTTGTAAGACAATTTTAATTTGATTATTATATATAAAAGATATTCCATATGTAAGGTTAAATTCAATAGTATTTTCATAAAAAGGATATCCATAAAATTTTGATAATCTAATTTGGCGACATGATAACCTAGGAACCATTTAAAAAATTCTTGTAGCAATCTTTTTTGTAAACAAAGAACATGTAAGTTTTTGTTAATTTGTATTATGTTATATAGTATGTTTCTTAATAATTGTAATCTGTATTTTTGATAACTGTCTGTTTGAGACAAAAATAAACGTTTGATTTCTCTGATCCATTTTGTGTTTTAATTTAGAAAAGTCTCCTTATCCTTGTATGTATTTTTGATTTTAGGGAAGAAGAATTTTTTTCTTTTTCCAGCAGGAAGTTTTCTTCAAAGTGGCGTCCAAAGAAAACATAAATAGCTAGAGGTAAATTTGTCTGCCATATCTTGTTCGTTTTTTGACCCAGGAGATTTATGTAAGTATCCCTTTGTTTTCATTTAGTAGATATCCCAATCCGACCCAATTTTATTTCAACTTATCCACGACCCAGCTCTCCAACAACCAACTGGATTGTTTCGATTTATTTTGTTTGCCCAATCGTCTACCCCATGTTCTTACCCTGAGGTAAGCAAAATATATTCGTTACATAGTAAAAACACTGGAACATGGCATACATACTGACCATATATTTATAGACTCCAAGACAGCCTACGACTGTGTAAAAGAAGAGAAATGTTCAGAGCTATGAAAGAGATGTACAATAGAAACTTAAGAAAATAATCAATCCTACAAATAACTTCTCTACAATTTCCTAATAAACAAAAGTAATAATATTACTATGATTATGCTTAATCCAAAATAAAAATCTCTATTCTCTACCGCTTTACGTGGTAATATTTATGATGGTTTTTAGGTTTTACAGACGCGAGTAAAAGATATAAGGCAGAATATATTTTTGGTGTTTTAAAGGACAGATTAAAATTTTTTGATATTAAAAATAAATTGGTAGGGCAAACTTATGACGGCGCTGCCATGATTTCTGATGAATTAAATGGTCTCCAGGCAAAAGTTAAAACTATTGCACCGCAAACTTTATTTACTCACTGTCATGCGCATAGAATGAATTTAGTTTTGCAGGATACATGTAAACAATTAAAGAATGTCGTCTTTTTTGCCAGTTTAAGCTGATTTCCTTCATTTTTCTCAAGCTCGCCTAAACGGATTAATGTTTTAGAACGGTTTGTTTCAAAATAAAAGCCAACAGTTTGTCAGCGCGATGGAATTTTAAATCTCGGCTAGTTTTCACTGTAGCAGATTTTCGTGAACAACTTTTGGAAGTTTTTGATTCTATTATTGATTGCGACGATTTTGAAAGTGATGATATCTCGATCCGTGAAGCAATCGGTTTGAAAACTTTATTAAATGATTACTCTTTAAACATATTTTTAAATATTTTTAAGAAAGTGTTTACCCAAACCGATTTGATATTCAATGTTGTTTAAAATCATTTAACTGACATTATTCATTCCAAAAATACAATAACAAAACTGGTGCAAAATCTCAGAGATTTTCGTAATGATAGTAATTTCCAGTATATACGCAGTGACGTTTTGGGCTCGCGTGATAACTATTTCCGAACCCCCATAAAAGACAAAAATATGACACAGAAACAGATCTCAAAAACCGAGTAAATTTTGAAATTTTGAACACTACTATTATGGAAATAGATACTCGTTTTTCGAATTTTGAAGATTTGCAAATATTTGACCACTTTGCCGATTCAAAATTTAAAAGTTACGCCAAAGAATTTCCAAGATATTAGACAGGTTAATTAAAAATTATCCATCATTCTTTAATAAAATAAAATTAGAAAATGAATTAAAATTTTTATATATCCAAATATGATCCAAATATTTTCGGAAGGTGGGATAAGTTACAAGATATGTATACTTTTATGTATACTGCAATTCATTACAACAAACTGTTACCGAAATTAATATATTGTTGTCATTAATTCTCTCATTACCTCCAACGTCTGACTCAAATAATCGAGATCTCTCTTGTCTCAAAAAATCAAAACGTATAGTCGAAACACCATGAAACGTATTGTCAAGCTTCTCTTAAATGTCAATAGAAAAAAAAACTTTTAATACCTCTCCAAAATCTAATAAATTTTACGATGACATTATAACCCATTTTGCTACTTCCAAACAACGTAGACTAGAGTTAATTTATAAACATGTTTAGGTTCTAAATTTATACGAAAAGCAAAAAAAAACAATCGGGGGAACCTGTAACCCCTAGAGAGCGCGTCCCCAAGGTGGCGGATAGGGGCATGTCCTCACCAGCCTAGTGCTGGCGGATAGGTAGGAAATAAAATACTACCCGCGGACCAACAGGTAGGGCGGAGGATGCTCTAAAGCTGTAGAGAAAGCAAATCCTCTAGGA